AATCTTTATAATTTAAAATTTTAAAAATATTTTAAATTACTAATTAAGTTAAGGTATAAATAAGAAATTTCATTGTTAATTTTTAAATTTTTTTATAGATTTTAAATTATAAAAAATGTAGATTAAAAATAACAATTATTAAAAATATTAACAGCAAAATAAAACAATAAGCAAAATATAAATAAAAAGTTTAGCAAAAAAAAAAAGAAAATTCTTTCTTGACCCTAAATTTAACGAAGGTTTTTCTCAAGGCACGCAATAAGAAGTATATGGACAGGTTTTTACCTTTTTCTTATGACCAATCTACCCCTTATTAAATACTGCTAGTATTAAGAAAGAAAACTTTCCAGATGTAATTAAAAAAAGTTTAAGTACCATTTGGTCCCTTAACTTTTTACTTTGGCATCAAAATTGTCCCTTAATTTTAAAAAGTACCAAAATTATTTCTCAATTTTCATTTTTGATACTAAAAAGGTCCTCCAATCAGTTAAATGACAAATGATACGTTAACTTGCCAGCAAATCATTTCTTTTTCTCTTAACCTAATGACATGGAAAAAAATAAAGTATAGTTGGCCATCTTTTGTATGAGTTGGCATTTTTATTTAATTTTAAAAGATGTTTTTGTTATTTTAGTGTGTGTGTGTTTTTTTATTATGACATATATATGAGCTTATGAGACAACATATTGTTTGATGGAATTTCTAAAAATTTACCAATTGGATTGATAAATAATATTCTTTTAAAACTAAACATCAATTAAAATAAAATGAGAGATCTTAGTATCTTAATGATATTTCAAAAAAAAAAAATCAAAAGAAACTATTTAATAAAAACTATATATAGAAAAAGAAATTTAAAATTTAAAATTTTTGTTTGAAATTAATATTATAAGAGTAAAAAAAAATCAAACTAAAAATCCATTAAAATTAAATGAAATACGTCGGCAGTCCATCGGGCCCTGCAGCTAATTCAATCGGACGACCCTGATTCCAAGCTTCAAGCCGCCAAGGATATCCGTCGCCTCACCAAAAC